CTCACGTCTTTGGTCGCTGCTTTAATTCTGAGCTCCGCTTTCATCGACGGACTCATTGCCTTTTGCAGCAGCATCTGGTTGCGCCTCCGGGGGCTCCCCTAGGAGGCCCCTGGACGGAAATCCCTGCAGGGTTGCGGGGGGGGGGAGGGGGGCAAGGCAGGGCAGCCAGAGTCCCGCCTTCCCAGAATAGGACTACTCCCACAGCAGCAGCGGCTCTTGGGGGCTCAGGCCGGGGTCCCGACTGCGGTCCTGCCTGCAGACCCAACTTGGGGCCCTCCGCACATGAGCGGGGCCGGGCCGCCAGGTCCCGACCCCACACCCTCACATCACACGGCCCCCGTCAGCTCTTGCCCATCCCAAAAGCTCCTGTGAGCTGCAAAGCCGCTTGTTGAGAGCTCTCTGGTTTTTCTATTTTTTATTATTTAAATAACAGTACAGTTTGTGAAAAAAGAGAAAATATAAAAGTAAGAAATGTAGCAGAGAAACCCCAAGGGATCTCAAAAATACTACAAAGAACATCAGGTAAAAATAATAATAGCTGAAAGTCGGGAATCATTATCCTCTGTACCCAATCACATTTTTTGCACTTAGTTAAAATTGACTGAAATGTCTTCTAATTCGGAGTTCTTCAGTTTATTCTTTATTCCCCATGACTCATCCTTCCAAAATAATGAAGCCTTGCCACAAACATCACCCTCCAACACTTTCCCCCAGAATTTCATTCCCTTGCACTTGCCAATAATTTCTCTGGCTAGCTAGCTTTTTATATAGTCAATCTGTCTTATCACTGCTGCTTAAGCGCTAGCATATCTTTGCAATCTTCTATACATGAGTTTCCTTTTGCTTACCATTTTAGGGCAAATTTAACTCTAGCCACAATTATCATGTACTTAAATAGCTCTATTCATTTTAACTTTACTTACTATAACAACAAAGCAGCAGCACAAAAGTTAATCTCTAACAATATTTTCAAAAATTCTCTTCCATTTATAGAATTCTCCTTGCTATAACAGCAAAACATTAGCATGAACATAAGTCTATGACTGTATTTTCAAAAATTCCACTCCATTTATATATGGAATTTTCTACTGTTGTTATCCCCGTTATACAGTAAGTTTTGCATAGTACAGCTCCTACTAATCTTTTTTATTATTATTTGCATAATCAGTTAATTTTGCCATTACTGCATAGTCCATAAGCTGCTCTGGGCTTAAAATTGGTCCTGGATGAGGGATGGGACACAGCGAGGCAAACCCTCCCACACCCACACCTGGCATCCCAGGGGGCACCACGGCCCTGGAGCAAGGACGGAAGCCGCCCAAGCGCGCCCCATCAGCAGTGGGGGGCAGCTGTCAGAGGTCCCAGCAACGAGGGGCTGCGCGCCACCCCCTTTCTGCAGAACCAGCAATGGCCGGACAAGCCGTGTCCATGCCGGACAGAAGGGCGCTGCTTGAGCCCCGCGCGGGCCTTGGATGAGGATGGCAGCTGCTCCACCAACCTCCGAGGCTCCTTGGCCGGCGGTTTTGGAGGAGGCCCTGCTGCCTTCATCAGTGGCTCGGCGGGCTTTGGGGCGTCCTGGGGCTTGTGGTGCGTCCAGGTCTGGCCAAGGTGGAAGGCTGGGACTGGCAGCGGAACGCTACAACATGCCGTGGTTTATTGGGGTGCTTACAGCGCCGTGCGGGGGCTCCAAGTCTGGACGACTGGCAGGGGCCGTTTTAGAGCCGCAGCGGCTGAGCATGCCGGCCTCCCGCAGCTGCAGTGCCTCCCGGGCTCGCCGGTTGGCCTCGCTGGCCAGCAGGGTGGGGGAGGCTGAGCGGATGGGGGGGTGTCGAAAGGAGCTCAGGAAAGCTGGCCTTAGCGGGTGCAGCATCGTTCACGGCTCCCTGGGACACAGGAAGCTGCGGCCGTCCGAGTCGCATTGGCAAGGAATCCCCCGTGTGTGGCCACCATGGAGGGCACGGCTGTGAGAGCCGCAGGAACGAGCCGCAGGGCGTGGGCCGGGAGGCATCCTCGACCCGGCCGGGGCCGGCAACGGGGCTTCCCTGGAGCCGCTGGGCTGCTCTGGCTGTGCAGTACACGCAGAGAGGGGCTCTCCTTCACCAAAAACCGCGTGAGCAACCCAAACCCCCTTGCAGCCAGGGTGGGCAGAGCTGGAGGGGAGGGGGGTGGGAAACACTCAGCACCTTCATCACGTCAGTTCGTTTCCATGGGACCTTCAATTAAAACTCACGTAAGGATGTCCCCACCTTGGAGACAGAAAGCTGGCGTCAGGCAGCGCAGGGAGAAAACAGAGGACTGACATTCCAGCGCAGCCCCTTTCGCTCAACCCGGATTCATCTCTGGTCCGTGTGCTGGCAGAAAGGAGAACCGGTGGGGCTTCCTGCATCATGTGCGCATTCGGAGATCCCCGAGAAGGCGGAGGGCGTCTGAAGTGGCTGCGAGCAGCGAACTCGCAGGGGCAGGCATGTGCGCGCCTCCAGCGAGCAGGGCTGCCGCATCCCAGGCGGGGCGGTGCTGCGTGTCCGCAGGGGCGCGTGAGGGAGGCGAGCGGCCCTTCCCAGTGGCGGTCGCAGCTGGCAAAGGGCTGTGCGGCCAGAAATGGAGCTCGCCAGTCCTCGTTTGCTCTGCCAGTGAGGAGCACCGTGGAGGCGCTCGGCCAACAAGCCGTGTTTGAGCTGCCACGCCACAATGATGGCAGCACACTTTCCTGATTTGGACCACACCGGGCAGGGGAGAGACCCCTGGGGCGAGTCCCGCCACCTGCCAGCCGGCCTGCCCTCGGGCGGCCTCTTCCAGCCGCCTCGTGCCCGGTGGTGCCGCAGGGTCCTGGGCGCACTGCCACCTGTTCCGGAGCCAAACATTCCAGCAAAGGCCAGCTCCTGCGTGCACGGGCAGGGGAAAGGGAGGCCCAGGACGCAACACGTCGGGTGCCAGGGAAGGCCGCGGAAGCGCCGGAGGGCCCCCACAAGCCTCTCTCGAGCACAGAGCCGAAGCTCCCTCCCACACGCCTTCCCAGTTGCACAAGCAGCAGCCACGAGGGGGGGGGGGACATCACGCCAAACGGTCACGCTCAGCACCACAGGCAGCACCACTACCCTCCGCTTCCCCTCACTCAGCCCCAGCGGCTGTGGCCACCAGCCCCTCCCCAGGTCATGGGACCTGGTGGGCACCCCCTGATCCCCCACAGGGTGAATGGAGAGGAGGGGGAGGCGCGAGCCTGACGGAGGACTGAGGTGCCTGTGTGCACGCAAGACCAGCACTGGGAGGGCCTCATCGAGGACGGGGACGGGCCTGGGTAATCTGGGGGGAAACGCCGCGCGAGGACCAGAGTGTTTGGCAGTGATCCTGGCAGGGGAAGAGCGAGAGCAAGTACTGGGAGCGCACCATCTTCGGCCGCTGAGTGGCCTGCTCCGGAGCTGCGGAGCTTCACCTTCCCGCGCATCTAGCCTGCCGTGGGCAGCCCTGCTCGCCGTGCGCTGCCCCACAGGAGACTTCTCGCCAGTCAGAGCACGCGCCACATCCTCTTAGCCCCCCAAGACTCCCACGGGATGCTGGCATGCACTGCAGAAGGCAGCCGAGGCAGGGCTGGGAAGCGCACTGGGGACCAGTCCCAGCACCAGGCTCACCCGCTCCCATGGTTGATTGGGTGACCTCCCTGGAGGGCGGTGGGAATGCCTGGCTCATTATCTTGACTGCAGCAAAGCTCTGGACAAAGGGAGCTGTGATATTCTGAGCAGCAGTCTAGCTAAAAGTGGGCTCGATCGAGCAATGATCAGGTGGAGCCCTGGCTGGCTGCAGAATTGGACTCGGAGGGGGCTCATCAACGGCACCTTCTCGGACTGGGGAGAGGTGGGGTACATAGAAACACAGAAACAGAGCGAGTCAGAAGGGGCCGCCCGGGCCATCTAGTCTGACCTCCGGCACCAGCTGGTTCTGCTCACGACATGCCCACCATGTGCATGTCCAGCCTGTCCTTGAACACCCGCACCGATGGGGCCTCAACCACCTTCTGGGGAAGCCCATTCCACACCGTCGGGGTCCTGACTGTCAGGAAGTGCTTCCCAGCATCCAAATTGAACCTTAGCTCCCTGAGCTTTGCTCCGTTGGAGCACGTCCTGCCTTCCTCTGCAAGGGAGGACAGGTCTCTACCCATCTCCATGTGACATCCGCTCACACACCTGTATGTCGCCAACAGATCCCCTGTGAGTCTCCTCTTCTCCAGGCTGAAGAGACCCAGTTCCCTCAGTCTCGCCTCATACGGCATCCCCTGCAAACCGGCCACCAGCCTTGTGGCCCTTCGCTGCACTGACTCTAACCTGCTATATCCTTCCTGTAACGAGAGGCCCAAAACTGAGCAGGGTTCAGTCCTGGGCCCGGTGCTCTTCAACATCTCTATAAATGTTTTGGATGAGAAAGTCCAAGGAATGATCCCCAGATTTGCAGACGACACAAAACTGTGTGAAATAGCTAATATCCGGGAAAATGGAAAGACGATCCAAGGTGATCTTGCTAAGTGAGAACGCATGGTTGAAAACAGCAGAATGAAAATGCCAAGGACAGATGTCAAGTTCTGCACCTGGAAAAAGCAACCAAATGCATTGTTACATGACATGGGCAGGGTGGGCATGTCATGAGCAGAGCCAGCTGTAGCCAGGGGTCAGCCTAGATGGCTCAGGAGGCCCCTTCTGACTCAGCCTATCTATGTTTCCAAGATGGGGAATACCTGGCTCAAGAGTACCGTGAGCGAGAAGGATCTTGGGATTGTTGAGGATCCCAAACTGAATATGAGTCCACAATGCGATGCGGCTGCATAAAGGGCAAATGATGTACTGGGTCGCATTAACAGAAGCTTCACTCCCAAATCTGGTGAGGCGCAGGCTCCCGTCTGTTCAGCACCATCCAGAGTATTCTGGGCACCACACTGCAGAAAGAGGCCAAACAACGGGCAAAACATCAGAGGAGGGCAGCAAGGATGATCCGGGGACTGGAAACAAAGCCCTGCAGGGAGAGACTGGGAGGACTGGGCATGTTTAGCCTGCAGGAGACAAGACTGAGGGGGGAGATACATTCCAGTATCAGGACATGGAACAACAGGCTCAAGTCGCAGGAAGCCAGGTTCCGGCCAGACACCAGGCGGAATATCCCGACAGAGCAGGACGACAACGGCACCAAAGTCCTGGGGAGGCGGTGGGCTCTCCCACACTGGAGGCATTCATGAGGCAGCTGGACCGTCACCCACCAGGGACGGTTGAGGTTGGCATCCTGCACTGAGCAGGGTGAGGGGCCTGAAGGCCTTTCTGGTCCTTCCCGCTCAATGATTCGATGACTCTGCAGGATAAGAATTGATAAGAAGTTATTGTTTTAATTTATTGTGTATTTTATTCAATGTTGTGAGCCGCCCCGAGGCTTCGGCAAGGGGCGGCATAGAAATTTTTTAATTAATTAATTAATTAATAAAAGGAAGGAGAAAAGGAAGGAGGAAAGCAGATGAGGCGAAAAGCACATTTAGCAAATTCTGCCACTGCACATCTCTGCAGAGATGCTCCCAACGGACAGCCGTGGCTTCCCACCAGCCACGGCCGCCACGCCAGGCGGCAGGATCCTGCCCCGGGGGCTCCCCAAGGCCTGGCTCACTCTGGCCCCCCGCCCAGAGCACTGGGGAAGCACCGTGTCAGGGACCGCCTCTCCCTTGCAATGTGGCTCGCCAGCCACATCCCCTCGTTCATCCCCTGCTCCCAAGGTTGCCTGAGATGGCCACCAGTTGCCATAGCACCAGGACGGTCTCCATGGTGCCATCAGGCACCGGCCTTGGACGTCTGAACACGCTGCTGCCTTCCTGGCTCTCGGAGGCGGGGAAGGAGTGAGAGGAGCACCAGTCGCGGGGGCTCCGCTCCGCTCCCCTCACTAAAAGTGGGATGCCCGGCCTTGGGTTGTCCAGCCGGTCCCATCCCCCCACAGAGGAGCGCTGGGTACCCAAGGAGGAATTCTAGGGGGTGGGAGCTGCCCCCCACCAGGGAGCGGAAGGGCAGGAAAGCAGCGTTTGCAATGGCCCTTCTGCGTGCCCGATAACTCACCCCAGGAATTGTTCCTGCAGAGCACAGATGGGGGCTGTTGGGGCCTCCCCCCCCATGTCAGGGTGGAGCTGAGCTGGAGCAGAGGCTGGTGGGAGGGCCCCAGGCCGGCCGAGGTGGCCGAGGCCAGGCAGGGCAGGGAGTGAGCCGGACTACCCCCCAGCACAGGCAGGCCAAGCTTCTTGCAGAGTCTCCGGACGGGATGGGGGCCCCACGCACGGCAGTCCTGGAGCAGCAGCACCCCCGCCTGGAGCGTCTGCCGTGTCGTAGCAGAAATGTTGCAGGGGTGCTGCAGATGGTCTGGAGGCACAGCAAGGCCTGGCTCACTCTCAGGCGGCCCGTGAGAGCCCACCGGTATTTGGGGGCCAAGAGCACGATCCTGCAGGGTCTCCCTTCTTGCTCTTTTGCACTCGTGTGCCTAGACCTCCACGAGGGACCCGACGCATCGCCTGTGGCTTCCCCGTCCAGGCAGTTTGCCCCCTGCCCCAGCGCATGCATCCACACGCATCCATGCACGCATCTCAGCCTACAAGAGTTACAGGCAAGCTCACACAATCCTAGAATGGCAGAACTGGAAGGGGCCATGAAGGCCATCAGGTCGAACCCCCTGCTGTTGCAGGACACCACGTTACACCACCCACCCGAGCCAGGGGCCCACGAGCCACAGAGGCGAGGCAGAGCAACCAGCCAACCAACCCAGGCAGTGGAGCGAAACAACCAAGGATCGGGGAACCAGCACTGCAGGACACCAAGCCACACCATCCCGCTCAGGGGGACGCCCAGTTTCGCCTTGGATGCCCCCAGTGTGGGAGAGCCCGCCTCCTCCCCAGGCAGCTGGTCCCACTGCCGTGTTGCTCTGACGGTGAGGAAGCTTTTCCTGATATCTAGCCTGAATCTGGGCTGCTGCAACTTGACTTGATTATTCCGAGGCCTGCACTCTGGCATCAGCGAGAAGAGAGAGATCTTGGCCTTCCTCTTTGTGGCGGCCTTGGAGGTCCTTCTGGAGGGATCTCATGTCCCCCCTCAGCCTTCTCTTCTCAAGGCTGAGCATGCCCTGTTCCCTCTGTCTCTCCTCACAGGGCAGTGCTTCCAACGCTGCATCGTTTTTGTTGCCCCCCCCCCCCCCCTGGGCCCTTTCTAATTTTTCTGCACGTTGAAGGCTTGCTGTGTGTTTTGGGATTCTGCTTTGTCCCATAAAACAGGGGCCGCTGGGGGTCCAGCTGGCCTGAGCAGCCTGTTGCCTCCACTAAACGGGTTGTTTGGTGCCGTTTTTCCAGGGTGCTCCTCAGCCGTGCCGTTCACACCGGCAGCATAAAGACACGGGGGCCTCTGTGGCACTGCGACTCCTTTACCCGCCCTTTCATGCTCCGCTTCATGGTTTGCGCCCGTGCGACCGAATCCAGCCACCAAAGCTGGCTCACACGGTCCAGTCGGGGGCGCCCGCCATGCCCAGGCCCTGTGCTCCAGGGCTGTCTGCCAGGCACAGAGGAAGGCCTTCGAGGGGCCGGGGGGGGGGGGGGGCGGGGAGGGTGCGCCCCTATTTCTGGCCTGCAGCCGACAGGGGGAGCCGTGCGCCAGCAGCGGCAGCCCCGCCCTGCCTGCAAAACCCTCCCGGCCGTGCGAGCGAAGACGGCCGCGGCCCTTCGCGCTGCCTCTTCGGCGGGCCCACCGCCCGCGGCAGCCTGCCGTTCCCCGCGGCAGCCACGTCCCTCTCGCCTTTGCTGGGATTCTCCGCAGCTCCTCCGCGGCTCTTTCGGAGCTGGGCAACGGCAGCGCGGGGGAAGGCGCCAACGGGGGGGGGAGGGGAGGGGGGCGGCGGGGCCCTGGTGCGGGGGCAGGCTGCCACCTGGCGGGGACACTTGGGAGCGAGGGGAGGCTGCCTCTCCCGCCGAGGGTCCCAGCGCCGCCAAGCAGGGCGGGAAGGGGCTTCTCCACGGGGCAGAACCAGGAACCTGCCTCTGACCGAGCAGGCATGGGTCGCCCCCGCCAGCACTCGCGACCCGGCCTGCGCCAGGAGCTGCAGGCGGGCTCTTTCCTGAGAACGCCAGTGTGCAAACGTGGGTGTGCAAAGCGCCCCCTTCCTTGCAGGGTGGGGGGGGGGGGAAGAAGCAGGCCTCTCGCCAAGCAAAGGGGGGAAGAGCCACGTCAGAGCCAGGAAGCAGAGACGTTGCACCAGTCCCATCCTCGGGGGGGGGGGCTAACACACGCACTGGCATTCCCCCAGGTGGCTGCAGGGTTCTGGGCACAGGCGCCCCCCCCCCCGGCCCCCTCACCTGTGCAGCGGGAGGGCGAGCTGAATGGTGGAAGAAAGGGAGCCAGCCAGGGCTCCCGAGGGAAGGGCTTCTGCTCCTCAGAGGAGCCCGGTGTGTGTGCAGCAGGGGGGGCCCTTCCTGCCCAAGCGGGGCTCCGGCCAAATGGCCGGGGTGCTCCAGGTGGCGCCATGCTGGAAGTGAGAGCCAGTGTGGGGTCACGGGGGAGTGCTGGGTTGGGGTTTGGCAGTCCCCCTTCTAGGCCCCCCTTGGCTGCAGAGCTCACTGGAGACGTGGCGCTGGCCATTGGCTCGGCTTGAGCTACCTCACAGGGCTCTTGTGAGGACATACGGCAAGGAGGTGGTCTATGCATGGCATCACAGAACAGCAGAGTGGGGAAGGGCCATGGGGCCCAACCCCCTGACCAGGGCAGGATGCCGAGCAGGCCATCCCTCCCAGAGGGCTGCCCAGCTGCCCCCTGAATGCCTCCCGTGTGAGGGAGCCCCCGGCCCCCAGCTCAGGGCTTCCGTTGCCAGACTGCTCTGACGGTCAGCAGCGTCGTCCTGATGGTCGGCCAGAACTGGCTGCCTGGAATCTGAGCCCGTTTTTCTGTGTCCTGCCTCCGGGATGACTGAGGAGACCCTGGCCTTCCTCTGTGTGGCAGCCTCTCGAGGACTGCCAGAGCAGCGCACTGGGCACAGCAATGAACAGCGCACTGCACACGGGGCCTCGGATGACGCAGAAACCGTGCCGAGTCAAGGGAACTGGCACTTTGCAGGATCTGGAAGAGGTACTTCTAGTAATGCAGCCCAAAATTGCATTTGCTCTTTGCAGCCATGTCACATGACGCATATCCAGCCTTCCAAGACCCTTCTCACTGGCAGTACCCTTGAGCTAAGCACTGCCCACCATGCCCCCCTGGAGCAATGCACGTGGCTTCCCTTTCCTTGGCATTTGTCCCCACCGAGTTTCATTCGGTGGCTTTTGGAGCAGGGCTCCAACCTGCCAAGGTCACCTTGAATCGTCTGCCTGTCTTCTGCCAGGGAATCAGCTATGAACCTGTGTTTGTTGCCCAGTCTGAGAATCGTTCCCCAGAGTTCTTTGCTGAAATACCCAATACAGGCTGGGGTTGTGGAATTGGGCTCTGCCCGTATGGAGATGGCACACACAAAGGGGTGGATTGGGGTGATGTAACCCCTCTTCGCCTCTGCCTGTCCCTGCCTTTGGGGCTGCTTCCCACCCACTGCTCCCCCGCCCCCGCGAGCACAAGGGCAGGGAGTGTCCCGTGGGGGCAGAACGCTGTGCCCACACGTTTCTGTCTGGGGCTCTGGGGCCACATCCCGAGGACCCCCAAGCACCTCGGGCCAGGCACACGGTCCCCCCCGCCCACCCTCGTGGGGGTTGCAGGGGGACCAGCAGCGAGAGTTGGCTGCGGACCGAGGGCGCCCCACTTCTGGAGCAAGCAGGGCCCACTCTGCGAGGGACAGCAAAGCCAGGGCAGGGCAGGGCAGGACAGGTGAGGGGGGTCGTGGAAATGGGGGGCACGGGCCAGCCCAAAGCCCAGTTCCACTTATGGATAGGCCGCACTTCTCCGGGCCCAGCCCAGCCCAGCCCAGCCGTTCCCTCCAACAGCAGGCGGAGGAGCCACCCAGAGGCTGGGCTCGATGTATTCCCAAATCCTTTTAATCCCATTGCAAATGCAGCCGACAGCCTTTGCCCGTGGCGGATAGCGGGTCCCCGGGGTTAGCGGCCGTCCAGGCCTTGCCTAGGCACGCAGCGCGCCTCTAAACGGCCGCGGCCCCGGACCCGCCAGGGGCTGCCGGGGCGCTCGGGTCCCGGGGCTCGTCGGGCTCCCGAGCGCCGCGCCACGCGCCCCCCAGCCCCCCGCAGGCCCCGCCCCGCCCCGCCCCGCCCGTCCCAGCCGCGCGGCGCCCGCCGGAGGAAGCTCGGAGCGCTCGCAGCTCGTCGGCGCCCTTTCGGAGGCGGGGGGGCCGGGGGCGCTGCCCTGACTTGCCCGTCCTAGCGGCCCCCCAGCGCGGGCGCGCAGGACGTGGGCGGCGTCCCCGCTGCTCCCCCGGGGGTCCCGCCCGGGGCGACTCGGCCCGTGCTGCGGCAGCCGCGGGCGGCACACCAAGCAGGCAGCGACACGCAGCAGCGTCTTCCGGGTGCCTTCTCATGAATATGCACGACGCGATTTGCATGTGCCCGCCCCCGAGCAGCAGGCCTTTCCCCTCGCCCCCGGCAGAGGCGCGACCAGATCCGCCGCTTGGCGAGCGCCGCTCACCGCGCGGGCCGCCCGGCCCCGCTCCCGCCTCGCCGCAGAGACCGGCGCCCTCCCGCGGGACCCCTCCGTGGGAGCTGCAGGACGGGGCGGATGGAGCGCCCCCCAGACACGGACGCGCGCCCAGCAGGCGCCTCCCGGGACAGGCTTCCTGCTCATTACTCCGGCGCTCAGGCGCCAAGGGCTCTGGAGGCACCCTAAGTGCCCGTGCAGCGCTTCACACGACAGCGCGGACGAGCCCTTGTCCGCAGGGGACACACAGGGCTTGCTCAGTTCCCCAGCTGGCCACCAGCCAAAGAAGCTGGGTGCTTAGCAGCGCCCACTGCCAGGCGCTTTTCCCAGCCTGGCAGTGCTTCAAGGGGGATTCTGGCCCCCTGGGCCCCAGAGCCTCCCAGGCAGTGCAGGGCCCTCTGCTCTGCTCCTCCCAGCATCCCTCTGCGGGCAGCGTGCACAGACGTCCTGTGTGCTCCTCGGCGGGAGAACTCGGGGAGGGCTCTCCAGGCAGGGGAGCATGCCCCGCGCCTGCCTCCCCCCCAGCCTGGGGCCCGCTCTGTTCCTGCCCCATTTCGGCCAGCAGCAGCATCTTTATCTGCGGCCAGGAAAGCTCTGGTCAGGCCTGGGGGCGGTGCTCAGGCGGCACGAGCCACTGGAGGGGCCCGGCCTCGCTGGGAGGGTGACACCGCCCCGGCAGAGCCAGTTCTGGCCGTGCTCTTGTGGGTGATGAGCCCCTTGGCCTGCTCCGCGTGAGCAGAGTGTGACGTTCTGTCTACAGCAAGCTGATTTGCTCACGTGCCGAGGAAGACAGCTGAGGGGGGGTGGGGTGGCCGTTCCCAGCCCTAGGCAGGTGACCCTTGTGGTCCGCCCCACCCCGTGACACCCAGCCGAGCCCAGCCCTCCTCTGCGGCGACTCAGGCCAGGGCTGCTGCCTGGACACACAGGCGGTTTGGCCAGCCGCTGCCTCCACACGGCCAGGCCATGGGCGCAGGCAGGCAGGCAGGCAGGCCCCGCCCAGCCTCCCACCCCCAAGCATGTGGGGCAAGGGCAACCACGCCACAGGTGCTTCGGCTGCCACGATGCCCCCAAGCCATCTGAGAGTCAGCGTGGTGGAGCAGTTAAGAGTGGGGGAGGGAGGCGCTGGTGATCCGGGTCTGAGTCCCCGCTCAGCCATGGAGCCAACGGGGTGACCTTGAGCCAGTCACAGACTCTCAGCCCAACCTACCTCACAGGGTGGTTGTTGTGGGCATAAGACTGAGAACAGGAAGCAATCGCGTGAGCCGCCTGGAGTTCCTTCAAAGGAAAAATGCAATAAATTAAATGGAACAAACAAACAACTTTGCCTGCTTTTCCTCTTCATGCTTTGAACGGGGGAGGGTGCTCCTGTTGCTTCTGTGCAGGAGTCCATGTTTTTAAAACACTCCGTTTCCTTAGAACCCAGCCAGCTCTCCACATGTCCCCAGCCCCTTTCCAGCCTGCCCAGGACCAGCAGCAGCCCTCCCTCGGCCCCGCGGCACCGTGAGCCTCCCTCACCAAGGCCAGCCGGCCCAGTGAGCATGGGGGGAGGCAGGGGTGAGTCAGCCCTGCCTAGCAGTCTGACCTGGAATCTGCTGGCGTGGCACACACACACACGGGGCCTGCCGTCTAAACTTGCAGAGGGAGGTGCCCCAGATTATTGGCCTGCTGGTTTCCCATAAAAGTTACACTCAAAGTGGCTGACAAAGGCAGTGTTCAAGGTATGCCATCGGACACCATCTGCCAAAACTCTGCGCTGCCTGAGCTGGGGACCCTTCTGGACCGCCCTCTGCGTGGGAGGGTGTAATTAATGTGTGTCCTGCAACAGCAGGGGTTGGACCCGGTGGCCTCCGTGGTCCCTTCCAGCTCTCCCGTTCTAGGATTCCATGGTCGCAAGAGAGCACCACGTCCAACCACCCAGCCGATGCTCCAGTGCATTCCATGGTTTCACGCCATCCACAGAAGTGAATCTGCCCCGTGTGCCTGTTTTATACAAACGCCAAGGCACACTGGACACGATGGGGAAGTTTTGTACACACCATCTTGGCAGCCAAATCTGGCTGAACACGGTGGGACTTCACCCCAAGTCAGTTTTCCTCCGTGCACCAGGCGCTGAGGGACACAAGCTGGGAGGGGCGGTGCCTCCTGCCCCCGAGGCCGGTCAGCGGACTTTCCACTCGAGCGGCTGCACGATGCTGGAATAGGTGCTGGGGCCACCGCCAGCTTCAGGTCCTCTTCACCTTCGCTGGCTTGTTCCAAAGCAAAACCCGTCTGCCTGTGGGCCCCGCCACCCGCCGGGCCACCTTCTGCCACGGCCCGGGAAAGCCGGTCGGCCGTCGTCCCGCCAGGCCGCGAGCTGGGCCTGCGCGCTTCCGCGGGCGCTCCCCGAGACCGGGCCGGGCAGTTCGCCGCGGGCAGGCCGCTGGGTCGCCGAGAGGGCGGAGGAGAGGGGCCTTCTGCAGCCGGCCGGGGGGGCGGGCGGCCCGCGTCTCCGGGCGGGCTTCTCACGCCGGAGCCGCGGAGAGGAAGGAGGGGCCGGCGCGCAGGGCGTTCCGCCGCCCGGCTCCGCGATAGCGGCCCGGCGGCGGAAGA